ACTTGTGCGTGTGTGTGTGTGTGTGTGTGTGTGTGTGTGTGTGCGTGTGTGTGTGTGTGTGTGTGTGTGTGTGTGTGTGTGTGTGTGTGTGTGTGCGTGCTTGTTATGGCTGTGGTTAGTTTCTGCTTGTTGCCACTAGGGCACACGATCAGGCATGTGCATCATCCGGCATGACTTTGTATCCCTTTGCATCATTCGGCATTGTTTCGCATTTTACGTACGTTGTTACTTTTTGTATCATTTTGCATCATCTTGCGTCAATCTGCAACGTTTTGCATGTACGTATATTTGGCATAATTTTGCATTGCTTTTTCAAGTCTGAAAAACCCTGTTTAAAGGGTATGAATCCGTATGATCGAGGAGAGCATTGGGAATCCCGATGCATTGCTCTGTTGAAGCTGGGAAGCCAAGGCCACGCTCATGTTCAAGCAGAGATGAGACTTGTTTTTCTGGATATAGAAAGGTGAAGAGAAGTAGGACACAGAGGATCTTACATTCCACTTGCGTTGTTTGTTTGGCAGATTTTGAAAAGACTGCTTCAGGATGATGTTATTGCAAAAGCTCGAATTATCAGAGAAGAGGTGTGTGAGGTTGCCTTTTTCTTCCCCCCCCCCCCTCCCCCACTTTCCTTCACCCCTTCCCCCCCTCTCTTTCTTCTCATGATTTCTGTTTTCCCTTTTTTTTTCTTTTCTTTTTGGTCCTCAAACGGTTTCCCTTCCTTGACTCAATTTGTCCACATCAGCAAAATTCAATCCTTGGCTGATGTCTCTTTCTTGTTCTTCTTCTGCATTCTGGCAGGCAGGTTATAATCTTATAGAGTGCTACTGTATCTGAGGAGGCAAAACATTGAGAAATGTGCTTTTGTTTTGCTAGTTTCCTTCTGTAGGAGCAGGTTTGGCACTAGTAAGCTGTGCATTGCTCTCCTTCATTTTTTTTTAATCTCTGTCACAAAAGACTCTCCACCGGCGTATGTTTATTCTTTTTTTTCCTTTTTCGAAGTAAAACAGGTCCTTATGGTTGTATGCTTATTCCACGTTTCGTCCTTGGTGTACTGTTGTCTCAGCCATTACCAGTGGCAATGGGGGTTGATGACGAGGGTTTGAACGTAGGAATTGCGCCAGCGGAGATGCCAGGTCCGGATCGGGAACTTCTGGGAGAGGACAATCTTGCTGATCCACTCGACAAAGAGATTCATTCCTTTGAAGTGGACCCTGATCAGGTTAGTAGTGTGTTTGTCCTTAGTGGAGGGCCTCTCTTTTTTTTCCAAACCTGCTGCTTGATCGCACAATTAAACATAGTTAGTTTTTGGTTATTATTAGTACTTATTACCAGTTTTTGGTTATTACCACCATCATTATTATTGATCAGGTTAGTAGTGTGTTTGTCCGTAGATGGAGAAGCTCTCTTATTTTTCCAAACTTCCTGCTTGATCGAATGATTAAACACTGTCAGTGTTTGGTTATCAGTACACTTTACGACCATCGTTATTATTTCTTCTAAGTTCTGCTTTCGTGGAAGTAGAAGAAAATTGAAGACTGGCAAATGAAATGGGAGAAATGAAAACAAAACCAATTCTAACTTCCTAAGTGAAAAAACAGCAAATCAATCGAGGTAAGTAGATAAAACGAAAGTGGAAATGAACTATAGATAAAACAAAAGTGGAAATGAACTATAGATAAAGCAAAAGTGGAAATGAGTTGTGACAAATTGACGAGGTATAAAGCAAGTGAATGAGACAAAAGTGCAAACACACACATGCACACACACACACACACACACACACACACACACACACACACACACACACACACACACACACACACACACACACAATCAGTTTTTGGTATGTTTGTTTTTCTGCCTCCCCCCTATTCTTTTCTAAGTATTTTTGTATCCCCAACTGAGCACCTTTAAGTAGTGCCAAACAGTCGGTGGTTCCTCGTTTGGAGTGCCTACTGCACTCTTATGGGGGCCGCTCAGTTGGGGATGTCTGTGTTGCCTGTAGGTGATGACGGATGCTCGTCTGCTCTTCGAGCCTTGTTATATTCACGGATAGTTGTTTCTATAAAGTGGTCGAGTTCATTAAGGTATATATTTGATAGTAGGGGACTAAGGCCGAAGGGCCGCCGCCTGGCGGCGCCTATGGTCGCCTCTTCAATCTCTCCGTGTGGCATATGAAAAAAAGCTTGTAGTCCAGAGCGGATTAGTTTGAGAATCCGTTTATCTCGGATTGTTCGCCGGATGATCTTATACAGAGTTCCATGATTTACGGCTCCAGGGCCTTCGGCCTCCAGGGATCCTTCAATCTCCCTGGCTCAGTGGGTGGTGGGAACCAACAGTCTGTGGGGTTCACCTGTGATGTGAGTAGGTGATGTGCTGCTTTGCTTCGTGTTGGATGTGTGGACGGCCTCGTCTGCGCTCCGCCACTGCCTTGCTGCCCGTCCCGCTTGCCTCGCAGGTAGTTCTTGGCAAGCTGCTGTCTTCGCTGTGTGGTGTGGCCGAGTTGTGGTGTTGTCTTGCGCTTCGCTGCTCCGCTGCCTCGCCGCCCTTCCACGGGTCGTGCCTTCCGTGTCCTTTGCTTGCGCGCCGTGTAGTTCGGTTGCCGTGTTGGTGTTTCCTTGTGCTTCACAGCATGGTTGCTCTGCTGCGTGTCCGCTCGCCCTGTCGTCCCTTGCAGTGTGGTTGTCTTGGTGGTGTTGCCTGGTGCTTCACTGCTTGGTTGCTGTGCTGCAAGTCCTGCGTGCCATGTTTTTCCTTGCAGTCGTCTTTGGCGTTGTGCAGCAGTGTTGCCTCTACTGCGTTGCCTGGTGCTTCGCAGGGTTGCTGCCCGCTGCTATGTTCCACTTGGGGACAGTCTGCCTTCAGGAAGGGTCAAAGGGTGCATGACCCAAACCATCAATACGGGCATTCCGCAGATTGTCGAGGGTTCAGCCTCCTGATGAGTCGGTGCAACTCCGACGAAACAATCTTTCATCACCAGCTTTTTTATTTTTTTATTTTTTTTGGTCCTTTGATTGTCTTGGGACTTGTGTTTTTTTTGGTATGTCTGTTGGGTGTGTTTGTATGGCGTTTGTCCTTCTGCCTCCCCCGTGCCCTCCAGCTTCAGTCCTTCGTTGTCCTCTGTGCTTATGTATTGTCTGCCCTCCCACCTCCCCCTTACCCTCCAACCTATATGTTCCTCATACTTTTCATTCACACTGTATGGCAACCGCTCCATTTACACGGCTACGACACACTCTAAAGCGCCTCGGCTCCAGTGGTACCGCATAACTCGTTCCATTGTTGACAGACTTCAGCATCCCTGCTAGGATTTCGTAGTGTGCCGGCCATTATACCGGAGCTTGACCATCCACAGTTAAAGCATGGTATGGCGTGCGTATGAGCACACACCCAAAACACACACACACACACACACACACACACACACACACACACACACACACACATGACCATAATTTCCGACTATCTCGATTGGGAATGAAAAAAGCGTGCTGTGCTGGTGACTGGCTTACAGCACACCGTGAAGAGGGCGTGCAACCTGTGCCGCTGGCCAGGTGGTGGAAATATCCAGGAGGCACGCAGTGTTGGTCCATTACCTCCATCAGCAGGATGTTGCAGCAATTTTTCTCTCTTTTTTGCTGCTATACACATGCACACATGCATACGCATGCACATACACAATGTCACATACGCACAAGGTCAGATCGGCAACATGTGAACCACCAGTCTCCCGCAGCCCATTTTGTCAAACCAGAAAGTTTTCCATACTGTAGGTGTTGAACCAGCTGCAGCGGGCTGATACATCGAAAGATTCGAAAGCAAGCCACTGTTTACATCCGCGCAAAGTTTGGTAGAAGGGTGCCGACACTGGTGGTTATAAAGGCGCAATAATGTTGGCCATCGCAGACAGCCCACTCTAGAACCATGATAAGAGTAGCAATCATTTTTTTTGTTTCTTGAAGTAGGTAAAGGCACACATCAAGTAGGATTACCAAAACCGATTCGCGCTCACCTCTTTTCTCCCTCGTGCTCAGCACTACCGCCAACACCAACTGTTTTTGACCTTGTGTACCTATCCTCCGTGGGGTTCCCTTTTCCCCGTTTTCGCACAGTTTTCGTAGAAAAGCTGAAACTGACATGTTTTTTTTTTTTTCGCCATCCATTTTTCTATACGCCATCCGTTTCCGCATATTAGTCACCAGGCATCCGGGTTGATGGCTGCAATGATTCAGTTAATTGCGGGGTGTTAATTGCGGGGTGCGTATCAAGTGAACATGCTGTTCGGATACTTTGGCAAACTGGTGAAGTCCAAAAGAAGCCCACTGAGGTTGGCGAGAGGCACAAAATGCCCGGTGAGTGGGTACGGGGTCCCTATCATGGACTCGGCAGTGCAGAGGGACTATGCGTTATGAATTATGTCTGGGCTATTTTTTTCTCTTGCCTATGGAATCTGGCTGTTTCCATGCGTATCGCTTGGGGAAAAAAAGTGTTCATTGAACTTCATTCTGATGATGAGATTCTGATGATTAGATTCTGATGATGAGAGTCCTTGGCTGGGATTTTGCTGCCGCTGCTACGTGTGGAACTCGTGTCGTTGCTAAGGCTGGGACATGCCTTTTGGCTTGTGTTACAAGTGGTTGTGCATGCTGACTTCTTTTTCTGTTTTTTATTTTATTTTATTTCATTTTATTTTATTATTTTATTATTTTTATTTTTCAGCTGAGTCCCTCAGTGCATGAGATGATGTTGGAACGTCTCAGATTGTTGCATTGAAATGATGGGGCTACACGTTACAGGTTGAGCACGTCAAACAAAGGTGCCTTCCCAACGAGCTCAATTTCCCAATGCTGGAGGAGTACGACTTCAAAAATGACACTGTGAGTTTCTTCATCTTTTGAATCATCTCCGTGGTTCTCCAATGTCTCGTCCTGCTGCTGGTCCCCTCTCCCCCTCTCCCCCTCTCCCCCCCCCCTTCCCCCCTCTCTCCCCCCCCTCCCCCCCCCCCCCTTATCTGTCCTTCTCAACCCTGTATATACCCGAGTGATTACTTTTTTTCTTTTTTTTTCTTTTTTTGAAAGGGTGACGACATTGAGATATCATCATTGAACTGACCGGCCCCGGATAATTCAGAGTGATTTTATTGTGGTCATCTGATTGTATCTGGATTCGAACTTGGGTCTCTATTTCAACAGTTTGTGGGTGTACCAACTGAGCTAGGGCCGTTGGTACCCCAGTGATGACTAGTCTCTGTCATTTTTCAAATTATTGAACGTCGTATCAAATTCTGTAATAAGTTCTTAAACAACTGGATGGTGACGACTTGCGTCCCTACAGACAACCCAAAACAGATTGATCGCAGGGGAAGAAGAACACCAGAGCACCCTGCTTAGTTGATGACTCAGCTGATGAGGTGGATGGTGCAGGCAATGGAATGGGAGTTCATTTTGCACTTGTGAACATTGTTGATGGTGGTCACCGGCCAAAAACAGGAAAAAAAAAAGGACTGACACACAATGATTTGTGTCAATGAAACAAAGTCATTTGCTCGTGCGTAGAATTTTACAAGTAAAGCAAGTGTGGCTGCACATGCATGCATGCAAATATCAATGAGATATTCGGGGTCCACATAAGTATCCATCTACAGATCTCATGCTCTTTAACTCTCTCTCTCTCTCTCTCTCTCTCTCTCTCTCTCTCTCTCTCTCTCTCTCTCTCTCTCTCTCTCTCTCCTCCACACACACACACACACATGTGCGTGCGTGCACGCGAATGTAGACCTAGTTCTCCAGTAAGCAACCAATTGCTGACGGATGCAGAAGGCAGGAAAATGATGCCACCTAGCCCACTCCCAAATGAAAAAGATCAGACTTCTATTTTCATTCTCTTTTTTTCCCCCCTCAGAACAGCAAACGTTTTTAAAGAAGGCACCAATGTTACAGCTATGGCAAAAAGACTTCCAATACAGAAAGAAAAACTGAACCTCCTTCCCTCCCCCAAAATCTCTCTCTCTCTCTCTCTCTCTCTCTCTCTCTCTCTCTCTCTCTCTCTCTCTCTCTCTCTCTCTCTCCGGGGGGATTGAATCTCTCTTTTGTCTTTTCTCTTGTCAATGGACGTAACTATTCTTGATGCAAGGGGTTGAATCTTTTGCTTTTTTTTTGAAGGCTTCGTTAAATGGATATCGCATATTCAGTTAAAATGACCAGCTGGTGAGACTGACTCTCCCACGGCTATCTCGCAACAGTGAAGGCAAGTGAGAACACCTGAAGCGATGTTTTTGAATGACGTCTATTGGCTGGAAAACCTGGAAAAGCTGTTTTGAGGAAGATTGTGAAATCTTTGAAATGCGGTAAAACTCTGATGATGTGTGTAGCATGTCGATGGATTAATTAAATTCGTACTTGATCATGGCCATGAGTAAAGCTCAGTAAACAGTAGCGGAAAGTCAACCAATGAAACTTACAAAGTTATGACCACTTGTTATTCACTGAGTTTAATCAGTCCACTCACTGATGTTACTCAATACGTTCACCATCTTGACGAGTGGAAGAAGGCTTGACTGAGAGGATTGGTTGCACGGTGGACAAACATCGTGACTTGATGAAAATCATTCCGATACGATCATCAATTCTGCGGTTGATTACGACACAGAGCCAATCATCATTTGGTGTTGGCATCACCAATGACGGCACGCGCGAGATATGAGAGAGGAGAGATGCAACCGGTCTGGCAACTTTTTTTTTTTTTTTTTTTTCCCCAACACAGGCCCAGTGCCCAAGGCTTATATTTCCAATAAGAATCTTGAGGCCGGGGTCCTCACAGTCTACCCGGGAAAGGAACAGGCTGGGAGCATTACCCAGTTTCGCTTACGGGGCATTGCCCCGCAGGGGACCAACCCCCTCGACTCATTTGGAGGACAGTCACTCTGTCACAGTTATCCAGCTTCCTTGCCTTGAGGTTAGGATCTGCAATCCAACATCTGCCCCTAAAGAAGGGGGTGGAACTCTTCAGTTCCCTATAATCTATTTGGCACTCCCTCCAACCCCACCTGTCACCGGTCTGGCAACATCCCCACCAGTTGAATTGAGATTGGAATTGAAAAAAAAAAGAAAAAGTGATAAGATAGCAGTTGAGTGATGGGAGGAGCTCCAGACTTGAAGAGACAACAAACAGCATAACAGCACACAAAAGGGGAAAAAAAAAGGTACATGATAGAGAAGGGGCGCTCAAAAGGATGTAGTAGTCATTATCTCGTTGCCTTTTTTCCTCTCTTTCCCTTTCGTCTTTCAATGTTGAGAATCATCCAGCGCAGGACTTGGAGTGGAGACAGGCATGCCTCCATGAAGGGAAGGCCATGGCCCGAAGATTACTACCCACTGGGATCTATATCTGCCCTGGCCCTCTTGCCATGCCTCCCTCCCTCATTCTCCCGTTCTCTTGCTATTCTCCCCTCTCTCCATCCTGTCTCTCGTTCTAGGAGGTGCTTCCGGTTGTCAACAATTGTCAAATGCCCTCCCTCATGCTCTCTCTCTCTCTCTCTCTCTCTCTCTCTCATTCGTCCCTGCCCGCCCGCCTTTCCCCCCTTCTTCCTTCTCCATTGCCTCCTTTCAGACTGTTCTATCCCATCTTTCAACTCGTGCCCTCCATCCCCACTCACGATCTTCCCCCTCACCAATCCACTTGTCCTCATCCTCTTCTCTTCGTGCCGTGTGCCTATCGCCTCTCTCTTCTTGTCTGTTTTTTGTCTCCTCCGTTGGGATCCTCGTTGAGTGCCTGCTCCCCTAACACTCGATGTGGCCCCTGCTGATCACGCATATTCTTTCCTCTCTTCCACGGTCTGTAGCTCTTTCTCTCTTCATTGCTCTCTCTCAATCACCTGCACATCGACGTTTGCCCTATCCCTCTCGTGATTCCAGGCCCTTCGTCATTATCGTGCTCTCTCCTTTTGCTTACCTGTTCCCCTCCATCCGCACTTAGCCCCTCTTCCCACCTTGCAATCTCTTCTTCCCCACCTTGTCCGGATACCCATACACATTCCTTACCCTGTTGTGCGGTCGTCCTTTCCCCTGGGCTTGTATCCTCACCCTGATCGACTGGCATTCAGACCTTCTCCTCCTGTCGATCCCATGTCCTAATCGCCCCTCATCCCCTTTCTCACGAATTGCGTCCCTGAACTACATTCTCCTCCCATGTACCTTAGGACCCTCCTCGACGTCTTCCTTCTCCACAACCTCCGTAATGCTGGCAAACTTGCCCAGCATGCTTCACCCTATCCGAGTGACTCTGCTCCTGCTTCCTCTGTTGTCGCAATCCCATCCTGACGGCAACCAAATTCAAAGCATCTTATCCTCCTGATCCCACATCCTCAACTTCCCTCTTCATCCTTCTCCTGCTACTCCAGCCTCTCAAGATTTCAATGGCAACCTTCTCCTGCCTGCCTGACCAGGCACTTGACCTCCGCCTAGTGTTCCTTCTCCCCCTTCCTCTCTGCGTTCACGGCATGATCTGCACCTACTCCTTAGTGGCCGTTCACAAATCCTGTCCCACCTATACATGGCACCCCCACAGAAAATGGAGTCACAGCCCTAAACGTGGAGGGAAGGAGGGATTGTGTGTGTGTGTGTGTGTGTGTGTGTGTGTGTGTGTGAGAGAGAGAGAGAGAGAGAGAGAGAGAGAGAGAGAGAGAGCACCTCGTTCATGTGGCAAAACCCACCTGTTTTGAACGGAACTCGCCACCGCTTCAACACCACTGAGAGAGGGAGGGAGGGAGGGAGGGAGGGAGGGAGGGAGGGGGGGTGGACTTTATCACACCACACAAACTCACCTAGTCCCTTTCACGGCCGAGTGAATGGCTCTCCCCCTGACCAGGCACTTTACCTCCGCCTAGTGTTGCTTCTCTCACTGCCTTTCTGCATTCACGGCATGATCTCCACCTACTCCTTAGCGGCCGTGCACAAATCCTGTCCCACCTGCACATGGCATCCCCACAAAAAAATAGAATCTCGCCCCGAAACGTGGAGGGAAGGAGGGATGTAGGGGGAGAGAGAGAGAGAGAGAGAGAGAGAGAGAGAGAGAGAGAGAGAGAGAGAGAGAGAGAGAGAGAGATCACAATACAGTACTGCCATAGTCTGGTTACAGCTGTCTTCATGCGATCAACACACGTGTGATGCAGTTAAGTGGAGTTCTTCACTACAGTTAGACCTGGTCTTCTTTCTGGTAACTGTATTCCCAAACTCCTTGGAATAATCTTGAAAATATTTAAATATTGTATTTGCAATCTTGACTGCGAGTGACATTCTCACATTACAATGTGCAGCCTGTCTGGGACACATGAGATGTGTAACTTGTTGGTCCCGAAGTTCCCAAAGAACCTAACCCCCATATCCTGTTTAGAACTTTAGGTGGCATATTTGACGTATCGTTCTCCTAAGACCTGAACCCTGGAATTTGGCATTTGAAGGGGACTGCATCCAACAGTCAATAATGGCATGCGTGGGAGCTCAGTTATCATACAACACAGGAGATGAGGAAACGTTGCACAATCACACCTCTTCTCTTAAACCACCACTACCTTTCAGGGAAATGCATGGGAAAGGTAGTGGTGGTTTATTTTTTATTTTTTATTTTTTTGCCATAAAGTTGGAGAACCAAGTACAACATTTGCAATCGGAACTAGCTTGTGCGGAAAGGAATTGTTGCACTAGGGGAAAGCTAGGACATGGGATAATGTGCACAAGTCTACCGCTCATCTTGTATGTTTTCTTTTCAGTATATGGTAGAATTGCGGCTGATGGTGCACAGCAGGCCAATTCATTGTTTGCGATGTGTTTGAACTACCGTCTTGACCCGAATAGAACACCGGGTCATTCCAGCTGTATTTGGGTCACATGTCTCTGTCTAGAGACAGTGATCTAGCTACAGTGATAATGACCGGGCATTCTATTTGGGTGAAGACAGACGGTGCCTTGTTTGCATGGAAGGGAATTGTGCATGAGGGGGCGGTCAGTTGTCATGCGGCATAGGGACGGGGAAAAGCTGCGAGTCACACTGGGATCGGCCACGCTCTGTTAACAAGCTTTAAGAAGAATCAAAGTCAACAACAAAAAGTTTTGCAGATTTCAGAATCGCTGTCAAAAGCGCATCGGACAAGCTTGTTGCTTGCAGTTTGAACTGTGGAGATTGCTTGTGCTGCAGATTTGCTGCAAACAGATGTCAGTGTGCATGCAGTAACATTCTACTGCCTATGGCAGATATGGTGTGGAAACCGGTGCGGGTGTGAGTCCCAATGACGCCACGCTGTCATGAAAACATGCTCATCTGTCTTTGTGAGCGGCGGGGAGGAGAATGGGAGGGTGAGATGGAGAGAGAAAAGTGCAGCAAGGTCATGGCAGGGATTAGGTGCGTTCATGAGAACCAACTCCCGTGCCTTGTTTGCCTGCCATGTCCCCCCAGATTAATCCTGATTTGGATATGGAGATCAAACCAATGACGACTGTGCGCCCATATCAGGAGAAAAGCCTCTGCAAGATGTTTGGGAATGGTAAGCGTGGCCGCCCTCTTCCGCTGATCACAACGTGAAAACGATAAGGGAAATGTAATAATTTTATAGAAAGCGATTGGCATTGTGATTCCGATTTCGATATCGATAAGGAGACCAAAGCAATGACATCCATGGAGCCACATCAAGGCAGAGAACCCTGCATGATGATTGAGGATGGCAGCCATGGTATCCTCTTCTTGTGGCTGAATGGTGCACACGTATGTAGCTGTTGATAAATAGGTGATGAGTTCGAATACTGTGGGCTGCAAGACTATTAGGGGGAACTTGGTTTAGGGAAAAAGGAATGGTAGAAAGAGAGAACAGGGATTGTCAAAGGAATCCTGATCTGAATGTACAGTGCTGATGCAATGCCTCCGCAAGATGTGTGCAAATGGTAGGCACAGCTGACCCTTTTTGCAGGGCATATAAATGAGGTCGGGTAAAAAGGATAGCTAGCCCTGTCGATGAAAATTTATGAATTGAAGAGGTAAAGAGGGGATTTGATAGGATATGACTGCACTGCGGCATTTCTGTGCAACACACGCGGAATTGGAGCTGATGATCTGAGATGAAAACGACGGTTTGGTAGAGGGAGGGAGCGGGGTCGCGGTGGTCTGCAAAAATGTTGTGTAGAATTGCAATACAGACTACTTTTGGCTGAGGGTCACATCAGGATTCCTCATCGAATAGAAGATAAAAAAGAAGACAACAGAATCAGACTAAGGTATCCCCCTTCAAAGTTTAAAGTTTAAACCCCTTTAGCCCGTGAAAACCAGTTTATACCCGTCTTCCCCTGCTTGACAGCCAACACTCGAAAAAAGAAAGGAGCCTTGGGCTCCTCTGGCCATGCACAGAAAACCTCTACCCAAAAAAGAAAGGAAAAAAGCAGAGGGCTGATTTTTGCCTGCACGGGGTGACCCCGTGCAGGTGAGCCCCAGGTGACATGCCCAGGTTGCGCAGCCGGGCTGCCGGGCGATCCAAGTGGCCTAGCTTTTAAAGGCTGAAGTGCTTCCGGTGGAATCCCAGAGATGGGGTAACATGGGACTGAAATATTGCGTCCTGGAAAGCTTTAGAGTCTTGACCGTCTTTTTTTTTCGGCTTTCCATGTGTGTGTGGCACAGAGAGAGAGAGAGAGAGAGAGATGGCTATGTATAAGTAAAAATAACCGGCATTGAGGCCCCTTTCACAAACCCGGGAATTCAGTGTGTACACTAAAGGTTTCATTTTGTTTGGTGTACATGCCAGTAGACGTCTGACCACATCAAGTTTTATCTTTGTTGATTGTATATTTTTACCAGTGATGACATAAAACACCGCTGGCACCCTATTCCTTCTCTATTGGCTGCGAACACACTGAGAGATGCTGAGGTACTGTTGACTGTACATGAGAACTGCAGTGATCCTTAGCAGCTGGAATTGAATGTTGTCGTTGATGATCTGTCCTGTCTTGTGCGCGCAGGCAGAGCACGGTCAGGTATCATTGTGCTTCCTTGTGGTGCTGGAAAGTCTCTTGTGGGCGTGTCGGCAGCAGCCCGAGTTAAGAAAAGCTGCCTTTGTCTGGCCACAAACTCTGTGTCAGTTGATCAGTGGAGGCTGCAGTTCAAACTGTGGTCAACGATCAAAGATGAGCAGATCATTCGTTTCACATCTGAAAGCAAGGAAAAACTCCCCTCTGGGCCTGTGGTAGTGGTGACCACCTTCAACATGATTGCATTTGGAGGTCATCGATCTGAAGACTCGGAGAAGATCATTGAGGAGATTCGCCAGCGTGAATGGGGCTTGCTACTGATGGACGAGGTCAGTAAAGACTTGAACGTGATTGTTGACTCTCCCAAGTCCTAATCAAACGTGATGTAATTGTCAGAGGTCGACTGTGCCAGCTATACCCCGGTGGCCGGACATTCTGCTCCTGGTGTCGAATATCACAGTGCACACTACCTGCCCTATGTATTCAGAGTTTGAATTGTGCAAGTCAGTTCATCAACCGTATAACTGTACCACTGCAGATGTGCATGCTGCTGTGGTGTTGGAGAACACATAGGGTGGTGCTATGTATGATGTCAGAATTTCCACAGCCCTCCGGAAATGCTGTAAACAAGCACCCTGACTGAATTCGACTGTTGTGCTGCCTTTATTAGTCTGACTTCATCTGCTCTGTGTGTGTGTGTGTGTGTGTGTGTGTGTGTGTGTGTGTGTGTGTGTGTGTG